CTTCATTTTTGAGGTTCTGCTCCCTAAAGGTGGCACAGTTTCGATCCCACACTTGAGGAAACTGCTTGATAACTCCAATAAATTTTGCTTGGTCCATAGCCTTCTAATTTTGAGGTTAAGTAACGTAATTGCACAAAACGTAAGAGAATACAGATTGTCGCAGAAATTCCGCGGTTTTTGGGGTTTGATTTCGTGAATTTGAGTCTCACATCGTGCTTGCGGCGTTGACAACGCGTTACTGATTGCAATTTTGTCGATACAGCTACGCCAAGTTAATTAGATTCCATTAAATTAAGGAATGGTTGGACCTGCCTTCTCTCTCTGGTTCAAGACGGGCGTATTTTTGCGTCCTTGTCGCACAGATAATTAGTAATTTATCTCCTCCCATTCGTTTACTTTATTGTAATTAACTTTATTAACTTTGTTTTGTGGACCTTGAAATCAATGGGAAAAACGATGTAATTTTTAAATAGTTTATGGGAAATGGCAGCTGGCTTCTTTATTAAATCATTTTTGCTAAATATTGATATCACAAAATACGTTATTTTTTCCGTTTAAACTATTTTCGTTAAACGTAATAAACACTTTTGACCTTGCCTAAATGAAGTGGCGCATACTTTAACGTTTAAAAAAGTGATAATACTTGGTTGTTTGATTCATGTCTAAATTTGATAACATCTTTACAGCGAATAGGTTTCTATTGTATCTAAATATCGGCCGAATAAAAACAAAGAAAAATGAACTAAGACCGAAGTTTTGCTGGTTGCTGGGTGTTCGGTGATGCCAGTTTTTTTTTAATTTAATAACTATTTGTCTTTTTATACTTTGATAAATTTCATAAAATTTGTAATCACTGTGCTGCGATTTTAAGTTGCTGTTAATTTTATGTCGATGTAACTTTGTATTTCCTTTTAAAATGAATTGAAAATTTCGGGAAAAAAATGTATCCACAGCTAGTAGGTGAAATAATAAGTTCTTCATATGAGCGTTTCAGCCGTTTTAAAAAATTATGAAAGAAAAAAGAATCTGGGTAGAACACTCGATTTTGAAATCAATAAATAATTTCAAAGATCGCGCCGTTCACTCGCAGGCTAGCCGATTGGAGGTTTCCTCAGGTCACATGAACTCTTCCGTGCCACCAGCAACAAATGGTGTACCCTAGCAACCGATCGTTACAACAGATTGGCTAACCTGAACACAGTGTCATTTCCCGCTTTATTTATCAAAAGTTTTCGTAGAAAATTTCGGGAAAAACCGCACCACTGGAAAAGAAAACATTATAGTGACCGTGTTTAGCTCCTAACCTCACCGGCAAAAGTTAGTGATCTGCGTTTAATCCATGAATTTTTGCGAACAAAGTGGTGAAATTACCGCATCAGTTACGGTCGTGCATTGGTAAGCTATTTAAGATTTTTTGGTCGATTTTCCATCGTAAAATCTCATCTCAAAGCGTAAAAACTGGCGTACAAGTTTTAATTGGGCAATTAACGTTTTTTCTGTGTAAGTGCAACCGTGTCCTTGCTGTTTCCGCCGCTTTCCACCAAAACGCGCCAAGGAATCGCAATCATAATATTTTTTTTGGACGATAGCCCGCGGTCAAACCGTTGTTCGGTTAAATACAAAAGTTTTGCCACCATTTTTTCTTCCTTTCTCGTTTCGCATGAACGACCGCGGCAACGTCAATACGTCCATGTCTTCGTCTCTTTCGGGTGGGTGTGGTAGAAGGAGACGGAGATATCGACGGGGTTTCTGGAATCGTCGCACTTGCGCAAACGACTTAAAACTTTTCTCAGAAAGTTTTCAAGGCTGTTCCATCCTTCAGCGGCCATTGTTGGAATCTGTCGAAGACGCTTGGGTTTTGTGATCGAGTGCTGAGTGTCGCGAGTGAGTTTGCTGCCAACAGGCCGCCGCCGAGGCCTGCAGAAGCCGCCGGCCGCCGCCTCCAACCTGTTGCTTCGCCCCGATGGCGCCTGGCCGCGTGCGGCGCACTCCTGAACTCTATTCCCTTGTTCTCGAAGTGTAAACAACCTCTACTGCACTGATTTCCAATTTTTGTTTGTGAACTAACGCATTCGGGAGGTTAATAGCTGTTAACCTCTTTGTTACCCCACAATTTAGTTATCGGCTGCTTTAGTCACTTTATCGGTATTTTTTCTTAACCTTTTGTTTTTCAGGAGAACGATTTTGATCCGTTCTTGATGAGTTTGGGTCTAGTGGCACGGTATTCTCGACTTCGTGACTAGATCCACACTCATTAAGGAAGTTTCATCCCGCTACCAACGCAACAAGTTTCGTTCGAAGACATGAAGACATGAAAACGCTGTGTTGGCGATTGTGGGTTTAGTCCACGTTTAATTCATCCGTGACTAGATCCATACTCGTCTATAAAGGTTTTCAGTGCCACCAGGAGCTCCACTAACTCGACGTTTAATACTCTAAAATGATGCTTAAACATGTTCGGAAGTCTTTTGTCCGTTTGTAAACTTTCCGTTCAACTGTGGGCTTGTGCTGTATTTGAATGAAATTTATCGAATAAAAGTTGGGTCTGCGTATCAATGAATTATATTTTGTTTGAGAAATTTTGAAAGTTTAAGAAGTGACCAGTTGGTAATTTTTTAGACGCTGCAGCATTTTTCATTTTGGTTGGTATTGCTGATGCAAAGGCGATTTGATTTACTCCATTTTGACACATCAGTTGTGAGTGTAATCGATTTTGAAAAATACCACAAACGAGTTAATTTTTGCTTGATGCTACAGAATATCTTATATGGTGTCCAGTACAGTAGATAACATCCGGAATTTGATTATCCGGGTGCCTATCTGGTGAAAGGTGATATTGTAGTGTTGGTATGTCAGACTTGCAAAACCAGTGGCGGAGCTACTTTTAGATTTATAGGGTGGGTTATCAGTTGAGATCTTAAAATTTTATTCAAAAACTCCGGTCAGGATAGGTCAACCATAATTTTTTTAGCTTTCAGTTTTTTCTTGATTAAACTTTTAAATTTATATGGCATTTAATTAAAAATCATTCGTATCTACTAAACTGATTTCATAAATTTATAAATTTCAAATTCAAGTTTTATTCTCGGTAAAATTTCTTTGTTTTTTGACGTGCTAAATTCAACAAAAAATTCCATCACGACTGATTCATGACTGGCCATAAGAGCCATACATTTTCAACAATCTTGCTAAGAATTTTTTACTGAACTGAATGAATTTTTATTTTATTGGTCACACACAGGACAATGTCATAAATATACTATTATATGGGAACTTTTTGAATTTTCTTATTGAGGATACAAATTTCCTTCCAAAAAGTAAATTCGTTCAAACCATAGCGTTACTGAAGCCATTTGATTTATGCTTAAGTGATTTTAAGTCCCCGTTAAAATACCATTTTATCCCACAGAATTTTGCCTTGGCAATTTTATCGCTATAAATTACAGAATAGTTCTAGAAAGTATAAATATGACGTTTATTTTGACATCAAAATGTTTTCAATTTTTTACTTTCCTAGCGTAAGTAAACAAAGCATTGTAATCGAGTTCGTCGACCGACTCTTTTCTTTTACATTTTCTCGACCTTTCATGACCCCTACAGTACGAAGAAATAGGTCTCCCGTTTCCGTTTGTCTGTCTGGGCCGATTGTTGTCAAATTTTGTATTTATATTAAGAATATGTAAATGGTAGAACGCTAACCAAAATTTGTCTAATCATCCCCACCAATAATGTGATGACGTCACTTCAACATTGTACACAGTAAATGGGTTTCAAATTGTATAAAATAACATAGTGCTACACATGTAGTTTATGAAATTTTTGGAAAAAATAAATGAGGGAAGAGTCTGGAGTTTGTGAATTTGAAACGAACAGAAAGGTCGGTAGAAAGCGGTGAAAACAGTTGTGTCTAAAGGGTTCTTGGAAGGTATTCGAAATTTGGGAAAGGATAAGTATTACTGACAAGGGTGAACAAAAGATAGGTTTTACGATTTACGACATGCAGGTGGACGGAGAGAAAGTTTCGGGGTAATACTGGTTGGAAGTACTTAAATACAGATTATATACAAATATACAATTTTGTGGGACTTGTCAGCCTCCACATCATAAAACATTTTGTGATTTCATTTTGAATCTGCTAAACCGAATGCGTTGAAATCTTGCAGATATTTTAAGGTTACGATACGCATGATACATTTTTCATCAAAATATTTTTGCTTATCCTCTCCAAAAAATTGATGACGTCAGCTCAAAATGTTGCCGAAAAAATCCCATCTAAAACGTACAAAATATGATGAGTCTGTACTTGTGATTTATCATTCCATTAATATTGTTTGGATTTGCGTATACAGGTGACTCAAAAAATATCATTGTATTTGAGGAGCGAGAGAAGTTCTGTCGAAACAACTTTCGACCAATTTTTTTTATTTATACGTTCTAACATTCTGCAGGTTTTGGAAGGAAATGTCTATCTCGTAAAAATTCTTTTTTTGTCATTTATCCTCATTCATCATACAAATCCTCATCTTGCATACAAATGTTTAGTAATTATTGTTCACCAAGCTGTTGGTAACAAGAACAGCAATTTTTGTTACCTTTTTCAGATAATAATTAATTTATTATATGTAGATATATGATTTTTAGTTTGAAAAAAAAACACAATAAGGAGAGGACAAACTTGTAACTTGTAATTCTATTAAATAAATTAGTCGAAACAAAAAAACCGGTTTTATTTCAAGGAAAAACAAACCGGAGCATTAAAATTTTTTTTACTTGTCTAACCCGGACCATGGCCGACTAGTATAAAGATTATGGCCTGTCCAAGAAGTACCATACGTGTTGCCACCTATTAATAATTACACTTAATAATTCTGACAAATTTTAATTTGATTTGACATTATGAGACTTCAAAACGTGTAATGGTGGTTTGTTTCGGTATGAATGCGTTTGTGCCTTTCAAAAAATGTCAATAATTTTGTCGTTTTTGAATTATTAATAGATGGCAGCACGTATGGTACCCATTGGACAGGCCGTAATCTTTACTAGTCGGCCATGCCCGGACTTGCTGTTGGTGACGCCACTGGTGAAGGCAACGACAGTTGTTGACATGTGACTTAACCTCAATTAACAACAAGGGGGCTGTGATGGTGTAACAATCGAATTATGTTTCTGCGTTACAGCGTAGACAGAGTTGTTAGATCTGTAAAACAGTGTTATAGTACGAAAACCAAGTTAGCGACCCTCACAAACACCGAACGAGTGAAATTCTTACGTCAAATGGCGTTACCAAAAAGCCGTGAAGATCCAGTTATTCTGAAACTAGACACTCCTGATTTCCACTCTCTTTTCACCGATGAGTTGAAATCGCTAGCTTCACTTTTTAAAGAATATGGTTACGAAGTACGAATTGCTGGAGGTGCGGTGCGAGACTTGCTGTCGGGTGTGAAACCGACAGATTTGGATTTTGCCACTACAGCGACTCCCGCTCAAATGAAGGAAATGTTTACGGCTGAAAGTGTGCGAATGATTAATGCGAACGGTGAAAAACACGGGACGATAACACCGCGAATTAACGATAAAGAAAATTTCGAGGTTACTACATTGAGGATAGATGTAGTTACAGATGGGCGGCATGCAGAAGTGCAGTTTACGACTGATTGGTTGTTGGATGCGTTACGAAGAGACTTGACTATAAATTCCATGTTTTTGGGGTTGGATGGGTCAGTGTACGATTACTTTTATGGATATGATGACTTGCAAGCGCGAAGAGTGAAGTTTGTGGGTGATCCTGTGACAAGAATACAAGAGGATTACTTGAGGATACTTCGATATTTCCGATTTTATGGTAAAATTTCAAAAGAACCTGATCAACATGATGAAGAAACTTTGAAAGCAATTAGGGACAATAAAGAGGGTTTAAAGAATGTATCAGGTGAACGTATTTGGATGGAGTTGAAAAAAACTCTCGAAGGAAAGTTTGCTGGCGAGTTGCTGCTGAAAATAATTGAATGCGGTTTAGGTCCACTGATTGGCCTACCGGAAAATCCTAATGTCCATGAATTGAAACTCGTTTTGGAAAGAAGTCGTGGGTTGAAACTTAACCCAATCACACTCCTCTCTGCAACATTGTATAATCAGGATGACGCTGCGGCCTTAAATGCGAGACTGAAGTTGTCAGTCTTTGAACGAGATTTGGCAGTTTTTATCGTTGAACATCGCCCCCCAAAACCCAATATCAAACCCCTGATGCCTTATCAGCAACTAGTTCTTAAAATCAACAACAAGTTTGGATATCAGTATGTGGTGGAAGTTTTAAAATATAATAACTCATCTTACTTAGAAGAGTTTCAAAAGTGGACAATTCCCAAGTTTCCTGTGACTGGCAACATGCTTAAAGGAAAAGGGGTGGAAAGCGGGCGCAAAATGGGTTTGGTTATAGCTGAACTGAGGAATTACTGGGCGGACCATGAATACAAATTGACACCAGATGAAATCCTTAAACAATTACCAAATGTATTAGATGTATTGGCTGAAAAACGGAAAAATAAATAAATAATATAGAAATTTGGCTTTATTTTTTAGAAATTGATAATTTAAAAATTAACACAATCACTTATACTACTGACTGTGAGAAAGGTATGTACAAAAATCGTTTTCCAAATTCAGATCAACAAAAAATTTAACTTACTCAATTACTAGTAGTACAAGGACGAAGTTCTTACAAATAATGTATAAATAAAACCTATAGTTTCTAAAATCAATCATTTAAGTCTATAACGTCACCTGTATTTATACCACTGGGTGCAGGGTGGGTACGACTTGTGCCAGGCATTTGAGTCTGATTCATAAACTGATTCACCCACCTTAAACAGAGATTTTAAATCTGCAGTAGAAAAATTAAAAAAACGTGTTTACCCTGTATAGTTTACAGATCGCTGTTGCAGTGCTCTTAGCATTTGCTGTTGGTAGAACTGGTCTTTGACTCTTTGAGTTTGTAGCGCTTGTAATAACTGAATTTCTTGTTGGACTCGTTTATACAACTACAACATCATTAATAAAAACAGGAAGAAAATAACTAGCATTACATACAGATAGATCGCCTCTTGCCACTTGCTCCTGCATTTGAGCGTGGAGAGTTGGCAACATTGCCCTTATTTGTACTTCTGTCCAGCTTGGATTTTCCCGTCGTACTATACTGGTAAGCGCCAATTCCATATTACTTACCCTCACATAATTCGAACCTATAAATCCCAGAAATCCACAATTAGAATTAAACATTATTCACAGTTGCATCTACTAGTAAAATATATTTATATAAATAGTTGCGACTAATTACCCAGGAATGCCTCAATGTCTAACAGACCTGCCGAATTGACTACAGAGAAAAATAAATTGTGTTCAATATAATCATTAAAATTATTACCATAATTTGTCCTTTGCTTCTTTTCGTTTTCAAATTCTTCCCATGCGGCTTTACGTTCTTCTTCGTTCAAACACTCCTCTGCTTTGTTTTCAAGAAGCGACTGATGTTCGTGATATTTGTATATCCTGTCTTCAAATTTCTGGAGAAGTTCTCCCAGGAGAACATCTTTTGGTACTAACGGAATGGGACGTTCACCCGGATTTGGTTCAAATCTGATAAATACATTACAAATTTAAGTTTATTTAACTTATCATTCGTCCATTTCTCAACACTTACTTGTACAATTCCGCGAGATCATTTTGGTTGTAGTGGCGGTCAATTTGTTGTTCGTCAATAACACGTTTGGAAATGGCTTGCTTTGTAACCTGACGCTCGTAAATTTTCATTTCCATTGTACCCTATAAGAAAAATGTTAAAAATGTGTTTTAAGGTGGAAGCAAAATTTTTACCAAGGTGACAAATCTGTAAATGTAAGATGGTTTCTCTTGTCCAAAGCGATATACTCGATATATGCTCTGGATATCGTGAGATGGATTCCATGAAACATCAAAGATAATAACTCTGTTAGCTGCGACGAGATTAATTCCTAGACCACCCGCCTTTGTAGAGATCAAAAATAACCTGCAATGCGTTTTTTATTAAACTCATCTTTTAATGTACAATTTTAAAGTAATCTAACTTGCGGCTTGAGAATCTGTCTTCAACATACATTCAACTAGTGTGACACACGATTTATAAATAATAAAGACTATATCATAGTAATAAATCACTGTAATTTCATTACATTTCCAATTTGTCTCATACCTTGCCCGAGTATTGGATGGTTCGTTAAATGTTTTGCACCATGTGTTTCGACTATCACATGAAGACGATCCATCTAAACGAAAATAATCCAGTCCAAGGCACCATGAGCCAGTGTAACCTCCAACGGACTCGGTGTCCCCATTCTGTGTTGCATCGTGGATTTTTTCCAGAAAATACTCAATAACATTTAGAGAATATAGCGACTGAGAAAATACGAGCCTACAATTTAGGGGATAATTATTGCGGGAGTTTCTATGTTGCGCTACGTACACTTTATCGCCGATTTGTTCGCATTCTTTTAAAATTTCAAATAACATGAACAATTTTGAACTGTGGATTATAACATCGAGTTGATCGCCATCACAGTATTCTTGCCACCATTCTTTATCTTGTGGATCTTCAACTGTTATCACATCTTCGACTTCTTCGCCGTTCTCTTTGGCTAAATTTGTAAAGGTATATGTTTAGTGAGGTTGTAAAAATATACTCCTTTAACATTTAAAACTATTGAAGTTCAATTAATTTTTTTGTAGTGTAAAACAATTTTCCATTTTATGGAGAAAAAGTATAGCATAGATAATTTTCCGAAATTTTGCTTCAAGATAATTATAATATTTAACTTGATAAATTCGCAGCAAAACCCCTTGACCGTCTTGGCACTTTTTAATGCCTGAGCAAAAATTATGCAATAAAATGCTGTCGTATTATCGATTCACGGTCTTTATATAGTAAAGCAGGCTTTGATATTTTTTCTTTAAGTTGGATAAACTGATTTGATGATTTAGTTTTGTCTGTCAGTAGTCTGATTGACATTTGCTTTGAGCTGGATTGCCACTTTTCTACTTCATTTATTAGATCATAATTATTAGACGCAATTTTTTATTTAAGCAAACAAATGTTTTAATTTTGTCAGCATAGATAATTTGTGACTGTGACAGATTCACAGATCTTTGTTACATTATTTAAAAAGAAAGGGCCTAAAATAGTTTCGAAAAGACAGGCCCGATCTTTCTTTCGAAGAAGTAACTATGAGGGTCTCGAACATATTTTCTGTAATGTAAAAATACGCTGTAAAATATTTTTTAATTTTTTTTCTCATAGGTGGGAACATCGACTGTGGCGAAAATTTTATCAACAGGGGACCAAAATTTAAAAACATCACTATCTGGCAAGCGAAAACCAACGGATTTATTTACAAATTATATGTTTCGGAAAGACCTGCAACGACAAATTTGGCAACTTAATGAAAAAAACGAATATTTCACTGTAGATACTCTTTTGGCATATTCTGGGGAACAGTTGGAATTTAAAGGGGGGCGAACCACATTATACAAAATTCTTAAGTCAATGGGTTATAAACACAGGGAAGTAAATGGTCGCAAAATTCTATGTGAACAAAAACATGTCGTTGCGGCCAAAATTACTTTTTTGAAAACATATTTACAGTTTCTAAATTCTTGTGAAAATTTGACTTTCGTGTGTTTGGATGAAACATGGATCTATCAAAATTGTTCGTCCATTCGTTGTTGGGTGCACGATACTGATCTAAAAAGCAATCCCACCAAAATTAAAAGTGAAGGATCAAATCAAGGTTTACTATTCTCCACGCGGGTTGTTCAACGGGGTTCTTGGATGGTTGTAACAATTTTTTAAATTGAAAAAATAACGATAGAGACTATCATAAAACGATGGACGGGACAATTTTTCAAAATTGGGTGGTTAATCAGCTCATTCCTGCTGTGGCAAAGTTGAACCAAAAATGTGTGGTGGTTTTAGACAATGCACCGTATCATTCGGTTCAGCTGGATAATCACCCACTTTTTCTAGTAAAAAATGTGAAATGCAGGAATGGCTCTTTAAACATAGTGTTGAATTTGACAAAAAATTTTCGAAGAAACAGTTGTGGGATTTAATTAAACCCATCAGAAACAATAGAAAAACAAGATATTTGGTAGACGAGACATTAAGAGAAAGTGGCCATGAAGTTCTTAGATTACCTCCGTACCATTGTCAACATAATCCAATTGAAATGGCGTGGGGATTTTGTAAGAACTATTACAAAAAGCATATAAATTCTCAACCTTCATTAAAAAATAGGGTGGAGAATTTATGGCTTGAGGCGCTTTCTAAATGTACTCCAAGCATGTGGCAAAATTTTTGTAAACATTGTGAAAAACTTATTTTGGCAGATGGGGAAAAATATGGGAAACCTTTCGTACGAATCTATACCTCCTTTCATTATTTCGCTAGGTGAATCTGATTCAGAATCTGAATTTGAAAATGACGGTGATGATACAGATTTTCATAGCGAAATAATGGAAATGGAGTGAATTGTAGTTTGTCGGGGGGTGATATTTTTACGCATCTTTCGTTCTAAATTTACCAAGGTAGTATGTGAAAAACTATCTCACGTACAACAAAATATGTATAATTTTAGTTACATCATCTACGTTGTTACTTTGCACCAAATTTTAAGCATTTTCATTTTTTTTTTGTAACTCTTCATGGACCTGGAGATAATAAGCGTTTAGAAGTACTTAGTAAAAGCAAATAAAGAGCACTTACGTAAGCATTAGTAATAGCTATATAGATAAATCATTCAATTTAAGGCCGGAAAAATGCTTCACAAGAGCTAAACCCATTAAAGCACTAGAGCAAGGTTGTGGTCTTTTACAAACCCTTTTAGTAATCTTAGAAAAGTGAAAAAAGAAGTTGGAAGGTATGGAAATAGGCTGTTCACAAAGGTCTAAATTTCCATTTCTAAGAATAGTGGGCGAGCAGAACGAACTGATGATTGAGAATTAAAGATGAGATGCTAAATGTGACATGCGACAATAGTCGTATGTAGAACCCCCATTCATATAAAAACAATGTTTAAGTGAAATTTTAGTGTTTGTTCCTTACATATGAAATAAACACTTACAAAAAGCTGAATAACTGTTTTAACAGCGCAAAGTTTTATGCTTTCTAAGAAATGGATACCGTTAACTTGGTCATTGCTACTGAAAACTGAAAGTATCGGCAACAATGTTTATATTTCTGGCATATTTTTTAACCTTTAATTTAATAAAACCAAAGACTTCAAATATATATAGACTGGCTGTCACCCTAAATTCTATTGTATTTCGTGAAGCAGTTCTGTCAACAGAAATCGCCGCCATTGCTGTTACTTTTCTGTCACTAATAACACCGCAACAACCCATACCCATAACCTATTTCTTTTTTATGTATCAGTTTCAGTTGTGACGTGGATGTGATCACAGTTTCTTTGGTTCTTTTGATCGTGTTTCCGTGCATTTAAGATTCAGCAATTATAGTGTTGTTGAAGTTTATTAGTTTGTGTGTGTATAGTGTGCAAACTCACTATTCATATGAAGTCGATTGTATACGATTTTAAACTTCCCGCGGTTTCGGTCACATCCAAAATGGCGACCGGTTAGCTTCAGCTTTTTCGTTTTATCGCCGGTCTATATATATTTGAAGTCTGAATAAAACATATCCTAACGAAAAAAGTTCAGGGAATTTTTATTTTTCTGCATCGAATACCAACAAACTCACTAGATTTTCATGGCCAACCCTACTACAGGTATAGTTATTTTCCTACCGAAATTGCAAAGACTTCAAATATATATAGACTGGCTGTCACCCCAAATTCTATTGTATTTCGTGAAGCAGTTCTGTCAACAGAAATCGCCGCCATTGTTGTTACCTCTCTGTCACTAATAACACCGCAACAACCCACACCCATAACCTATTTCTTTCTTATGTATCACTTTCAGTTGTGACGTGGATGTGATCGCAGTTTCTTTGGTTCTTTTGATCGTGTTCCCGTGCATTTAAGATTCAGCAATTATAGTATTGTTGAACTTTATTAGTTTGTGTGTGTACGGTGTGCAAACTCACTATTCATATGAAGTCGAGTGTATACGATTTTAAACTTCCCGCGGTTTCGGTCACATCCAAAATGGCGACCGGTTAACTTCAGCTTTTTCGTTCTATCGCCGGTCTATATATATATTTGAAGTCTTTGCGAAATTGGCTATTTCCAGAGTCTACCAGCTATTGTTCCTAATAATTCCTGATAGTATATTTTTTCTTTTTATTATTATTTCACAATTATTTTAGATTCAATAAGGAAATCTGTAATTAATTTATTATTTTGTTGCAATAATTATTATATAATCAACCTTTTAAAATGATTCTGTTCTTTTCTATTCACGAATCCTTGTTGTAAAAAAAAGGTCAATCTTATGCTAAATGGTTCACTGAAGTGAATTTATAAGTACATACATGATAGCTGATAGCGACCAACGTTTCTGGATCTTGGAATTATGGCTTTCTACATTTTTGTAATTTGTAGATGTCTGATAACAGAAAATAAAATAACACTGAATATATAGAGCATAACGCTATAATACAAGAAAATATTATACGTAACTTTCATGGACTAAATAGAATTAACACAGAAAAAATTATTTTGCTATAAAATTCTAAGACTTCTTACCAATCACTACAAGCCGTTCTTGTATGTAAGTGTTTTTAAGGTTTAGATGAATATATCTATTGTGGTTATAATGAACTAGCTTAAACATACATTTACTTATTTGTTTTCTGACTTATTTATAACCACCAGTTAAGGCTAATAAACTTTTCACTAACTAGAGGTAAAATAATTTAAGAATAGCACACTCATAAACACGCGTAGAAGACGAGAACAAACGATTACACTTTCAAACATACAATAAAATAAAATTTTGTTGTGCCAACAAAATCGGCTCCTTATGTTAATGGTAATGTTTGCGCCAAATTCTTTCTTTTTTGCTTTGGCTTTGGTAAAATAGAAGGTAGTAGAAGCGCAGGGAAAAGGAAAACATTACGGCTAAAAAATTTTCGAGAGTAATATAAGAAAAACACTGCCTCCTTATTTCGAGCTGGCGTCAATAGGTTCAAATAGCGCTAATGATCGCTAATAACCGTCGCTAGGAGAGTCAACTCCAGAAGAACAAGAAGGGTTTATTTTATAAAAATCAGTTCTTTACAGAATTTTATATTATTTTTATTATTTTACTAGCAACCAGGCCCGGCTTCGCACGCAATATTTAGTCTTTTTACGCAATTTACATAAGACCTTCATATATTATACACCAAAACCTTCTTCATGAATCACTCTATTTATTGGTGAAAACCGCATGAAAATCCATACATTAGTTTTTGAGATTATTGCATTCAGACAGACAGACAGACAGACAGTTTTAATTTATGATTATGACCAGGTTGGTCAAAATAGTCTGGCTGAAGCTCGGAGAAACAGAATCATTTCCTGGTACACGAACACCAGATCGGAGTGTTTTCGCCCAAGTTTACAGAAGCTTTTGGATCAAAATTATTAGGTGCTGCATGGAATTCAGATGCGAATCCTCTTGAAAGAGATGAACTGATATTGGACATAGTAAATGAAGATCCAAATTTAAGTATTCGTGATTTTGGTACCATAACGTGGGCTGCATGGAACTTCTTACTTCACGAAAACTTAATCGATATCAATACATTGGGGTCAAAGCTTTACGTTAAAAGGGTTATGAGCGCAGAATGAACTTCTGTTGATGGTTCGTGCACAGACATTAGGAAGATGAAAATTTTATTGACAATATCTTTTATCTTTTTTATTGATGGATTAATTTTTTCTTCTTTTTTTTTGACACGACCTAGACACAGTAAACATCTTTTTCCCGCAGATGTATGGGCTGGAATTTACAGACAGTGTTCAATCTTTCATTTGGCCCAGAAAGCACTTTGATATTTACAAAATTCAATATTGAAATGAATAAATTTAATTGGACGATTTTAATACCATATAACATTTAAAATAAAACAAAAAATAAATAAATAAATAAAAAATTGGTCGAAGGTTATTTCGACAGAACTTCCTTCATTCCAGTGGGGTTAATAACACCCCCTCAGCCCCTGTGCCGTGAAGGCGCAAATTCCAAGGGGGCGCGGTCTGCACAAGTGCCGACAATATGAAATATATTTTATAGCAGGTAATTAACAGGAAACAATGTATTTTTAATTCCTAGTATGTCTTTGTGTAACTTCCACTGTTTATGTTTATACTCCGAAAGAATTTGACCATTCATATCGTATCAGCGACATCATTAAAGTATGCATATGTGTTAAAAAAAACTGAAATTTGATGGATTTTGTCTTCTCAATACAGAAAAGAGGACCAATTAATTAAGTACACTCGGCTTTTCTCCAGAAAATATAAGTAATAGCGGGAATAGTAGAAAAAACAAAACAAAAAACCACCCTGGCGCCATTGAACGTACGCTATTTGTGCGTTACGTGTCTGAAAGCAGATACGGCGATTCATGAACCGTTGTAACTTTGTACCAATAATGCTTATGTTCGTAGAAAAAATTGCCATGCGATTTCGATTTTTTTGCGAAAATTAGGATGGCTCGGAGAAAATCTGAAAACCTTTATAAAGAACAAGTACCAAAGTATGTTATTTTATAAAATATAAATCCTACTTATAATGAAAAATTGAGAGGATGTCCTCACGTTTTTGGCGGAGATGATTACAAAAGTTTTGGTTTGCATTTCACCAACTATATGATATTCCCAATATAAATACAAAATTTGACAACAATCAGTTCAGTAGTTTCGGAGATTATCCGCCTAACAAAGATCGTCACGGACAAACGACAGACAGACAGACAGAAACCGGAGATCAATGTCTTCGTACTTTAGGGGTAATGAAAAGTCGAGAAAACATAAAAGTAGGGAGAGATTCTCAGACAATTTACCTATAATTAGCCAGAAGACTATGGCGATAACATTACGTAACACCGTAACAATTTTAAAAAAATCACTATGGAAATAATATTTAAAAACAAATTTACAAGTACAGCAAACGAATAGCACATGTATTTTTCTAAAATATTTAAAAATGTACTGTTTTAGGGATGCTAAAATTGTTATTTCGGGCACTATTGTTCGTTTTAACAATGATGGTTTTCAACTAAGCTGTTAAAATTCAACTATCAAATAACTGTTGCTAATTTCAGTTTAGTTTTATTAAACATATTAATAAACCTTGAAAATGTTCGTCTGTTGAAATTAAGAACAATAATAATTTTAAAATGTTGAAAATAGCATATTTAACAATTAATATTGTAAATCATATATATAATTATTTAATAAATTAAGAATATAAAGAATAATTGTTGGATTGAGATTCTGCTTTGTCAACAAAATAGCGCGCAATATTAGATGATTCACCATGTTATTCTCAAATTATTTTGCCTCTAATTATATCCGAGACCCACACAGTAGGTGTCTATTTTTTTTTTAAATCTCATTATAAGTAAGTTACGTTGATCATATCAAGAATGATAGTACCATAATTTAACATTTTGTTCGTTTTTCATCCAGAGATTTTAATTTTCAGGTTTCAGTTAAACATTTAGTGGTAAATCGCTACGAAAATCACGTTATACATTTTTGAGGCAGTCTTTAGAAAGTTGGAAATGCTATATGGAAATAATTATGTCGCACTTTTTTCTATTATGACTTGCATTCAAAGTATGGGAATACTTTGATAATGGCCCAGGAAAATAGGAAAAAAACCTCAATGGGAAATGTTACGGTATAAAAGAAATGAGTGTACAAAATTTGGACTACGGTATACCACTCATTAAACGTTCACTGAATAACACATCTATTAAATGAAAGTATATTTGAACAAAAATAAAATTGATTTAATTCTTTACAAAGGTATTACGAAATTACAAATTAATAAGAATTAGACAATTCATGATAAACGAACAAAACATTTCTCATTACTAAACTCCGATTTTCTCTAGATGCACTCCGTTCTTCTAAAATTTTCCTTTTTATTTTAGGTTGCTCTTTCTTAACAAATGAATTTTGTATAACGGCTAGACAATTTTCTGGTAATAACTGCTTGTAGACAATTAACACACTATAAATTTTGTCTAATTCTTGCCAAAATATAGCCCGCAACATTATACAAACAATTCTGGGTAGTATTCCAGCCAATAGGAAGAGAAACAATCGAGAGTGATGATGTTTATGTATATGTTTACGTTAAGATTAATAAATAAGTTCAGACGACTTTACCACATTTATTATATAAAACTTTGCAATCGTAATTTAATAATAAAAACATAAAAACCAAATATTGCTCACCTAAAGCCGCAGCAGCTCTTGTTAGGCGCTTACGAGGACCTGTCTCCTTTTTTCCTTCGTTCTCACTATCCGAGCCAGAGTTCGATGACGAAGACGTAGAGTCTTCGTCTTCATCGTTTATAAAATCTTTTAAAGAACCTTCTGATTCCTCGGAATCGTCCTAATAAAAAGTAATTTTCAGTTCAATGTGAGGATTCTTAGAAAGTTTTTGTACAATTTGTTTCTCTTACCATTCTTTCCTTGGCCAACTTCATCTCAATACTCTTATCTAGAAGCACTCGTGGATGAGCACATATCCTCTGCAAGGCTTGAAAATCTACAAATAAAAATGACGTCCGATTTGACCCGTCGATGTTTCTTTTAGCAAAATGATTCATGTAATGTTGATATAACTTAATCTGAGTTTCAGAGAGTTTTAAGAATATAACGTATTCAAACTTAGGAGGCAAATATGGTTCCAAAACAGAGTAGTCTCTTCTTTGTACTACACCGTCCAGCATTTTGTGAAGAACGTGAGATCTTTTTCTCATAATTTGTAAGTCTTGAGGCGTCGAATCTGTGTACTGACCATTAGTAATCGGATTTACGAAACGATTTAGGTACTCCTTGTATGTTCCCAGGAGATTTGGCTTAATAAACTGCACCATGCAAAAATACTCTTTGAGATTATTCTGTAAAGGGGTGCCTGTTAATACAATTCTTCTTAACGTTTTTATACGATTCATAGCGATGCTCAGATTGGTTTTTTCGTTCTTTAAGAGGTGACCCTCGTCGCAGATCACCAAATCAGGACCTACATATAATTCGGTACGTCTGAATTGTGCAACCAAAATTTATTCTAAACTTACCTGGATCAACCAGCGCTTCCTGAAACGCACTTCTCATCTTCTTGCTCAACCGTTTGTTGTCTGGATTGCTCAAGTTCCTAAACATATCATATCCTATAATCAATACTCCCCCACAATTGTGCCACGTTTTGATTTGATACTGTCGTTCATAATTTTGTTTGAACGATACCAGCTCAAATATTTCAAAATCGTCATTGTCGGGCAACCACTGTTTGAATTCGTTCACCCAATTTAATACGGTATTTAAAGGGCTAACAACTAAAACTTTCTTCACTTTTGTCTCTTCATTGTTGATTAACAAAGTATGAGCTAATGTAATGACCTACAATTAAATTCATTAGATAAATACTGCGCCATTTGCAATTTTACCTGTAAAGTTTTTCCTAAACCCATGCAATGGGCCAAAATGCATCCGGAGCCCGTAGTGGATTTTGCACGTTCCAGCGACTCAAAACATGCATCCCACATAAACTGTACACCGCTGGCTTGATGCGGCTTCAGTTTAGTTACCAATTGATCATCAACTTTCAACAATTCTACGTTGTTCTTTTCGTCAAAATCTAACACTACTTTGTCAACTGTGGCGTTTTTCTGGGAGTTGCCTTCATACACTAGGTTGTACTTTTTCTGTTTTTCGGCGATGCGAGCTTTTCGTTCTTTCTCTTCGGCTTCAGCTTGTTTTGTGGTTTCAGCAAGGGAATCTCTTCCCCAAATGTTTCTGATTTGCTTTCTTGTTGATTTTTCTTCGTCGTCTTCGCTGCTGTCGCGGACGCGCTTCACTCGTTTACGGGATTTTGGTCTATATTACGAAAAACGAGTAATTATGATATAAAGAAAACGGATTTTGTGGTTTCTTACTTTTCAGGTTCTTTCTCCTTTTCTTCTTTCTCTGATTCTGATGAACTACTAGATTCTGGTTGAAAGTCGTCGGCGCTGTCTTTTTTGTTGTCAGAATCAGAATCGGATAGAATCGCTTTTTTCTTACGTCTCTTTTTAAGACTAAAAATTGGAAATGTGAAAATATTTTTTTGTAATAAGAGTAGTTTATTATGTTAGTATAAAAACACAAAAAGCGATTTTGTTCACGACTATTAAAAAAAAAAATAGTGCAAAAAGAAATTTTTGTATTAGCACGTTTCTAAATTAGAAATGCATACTAAAATTTAAAGAATACTTAGTCATACGATAGGTAAGCAAAATTCTAATTTTTAGTTAAATATTAGGCAAAAAGTTTAAATGTAAAGCAAGTTACAGAATAATATTAAAACAAATTCGTCTATCCACATCGAGACCTTGAGAATATGGAGAAGAAGCAACGCGGAAATAAAGCGATAACACGTCATTTTTACTGCCATTCATTTTTCTATATGGTTTTCCAACATATTCATACAGTCGTTTCCAAAAAATTTTGGGCAAGATGAAATGAAAAATATCAGTTTCAGATTAAGTAATAATAATAAGATAACACCGTTAAATTTGTACGCAAATTTTTAAACAGCTGTACATCTGGACATTTTTTTTTCCAGATGAGATTATAAAATTTTTGTTGATGCACAGTAATTATATTTTTTGTAAATGTATATGTTGGAAGTTATAGTATTATAATGTTTCCTGTTGCTTAAATTGGGAAATAACAGAATTTTCTTCACATATAATAAAACAAGTTCAGTGTCTTAGATAAAATATAAAATCTGATTTTGCAAATATTTTTTTATGATTTACATAGATTTCTTTAGTGATATGATTTATAACGTTGGTCAAAGTTTCTTATACCTGTGAAGCTGATGAATATATTATTTCGCAGATTTAAATGGAATTTATTTAGCAAACTTTTGCAATGAAGCCGTCATATTTTAGTGTGGATGACAAGATAAAGTTTGTTAATCGTTTTACCACTTACACGGTAGTTAGTTTTAGAGATTTATCTAATAAAATCAACAGATTACAGACAGACGCACACGGGGGCCTACTTTTCCATACTTTAGAAGTTGTGAAACGTCGAGAAAACATAAAATTAGCAATTCGTCAAGTGGACACTATTACTCAGTGTCGGATTGGAAACATGAGAAAATTTACAAAGTGGGGCACTGTGGTATTGTACACAGATGTTGTTTGGGTATTATTACTACTATTATTATTTTCAGTTTTGCCGGCGACATTGGCATTTTGAAAAAATTATGTGTTTCGAATTTTGATGATACGAAAATGAAGCTGGTAAAAAAATTGTGGAAGGTTATTTTGACACAATTTCCCTCGCCCTTGAAGTATAGTCCGACAAATTTCGCTTCTTTAAAAAATTATTAATTATTAAATGTAGACATTTTCAATTTCGCAGTATATGTTTAACTTGGACTGTTTATGTTTAACTTCAACCGAATTCGATTATTAACGCGTTCAGATTACAAGCATCAGCTATTAACAAAAAATGAAATTTGGTTGATTTTGTGTCCTCAACGAAGAGGAAAGGATTAATTCATACTCGGTCTTTTTCCCAAAAATCCTCATTAATTTGAAGAAATTCGGCAAAAATGTAAGATGACGGATAAAATTTGATTAACGATTATCATGTTTCAAATAATTTTAAAATATTTGCATGATTTCACAGCATTCGGTTTTTGCAACTTCAAAGTTAAATTGTAAAATATTGTTATACAATGTTGATTTTTTTTTTTTTTTCAAAAAATCTAAGGGTAGAAACTCAACACGTATTCAAAAATCACATACGCAGGAATGTCATTTTATAAAATTTAAAAAATATTTGTGCAGCAGAATTCTAAGATGACGTCATAATTTTTTGGAAGGCCTTAAACGAACAAATACAATTTTGAATTTGTTCCCAGAAATCTCGATGTTAAGGCTAAAAACTCTAAATTTCTCATAATTTAAGAAACATTTGTTCTGCAAAATTATAAAATAAAACGTCATCAATTTTTAGGAGGCCATAAATGAAAAAAATTTTGATTAACGATTTACCATGCTTACGATAATCTTAAAAAGCTTGCAAGCTTTTAAAGCATTCGGATTTACAGTTTCAAAGTTAAATTGTCAAATGTTATACAATTTTGATTTTTTCCCCAAAAATCTGGATCTCTAGGGTGAAAATTCTAAACGGATTCATAAATCACACATATAGGAGTATGGAATCCTACAAAATTAAATATAGTTATATATCATACCGCTGGAATTATGGTCAAAATCTTTAGAAATCCATAACTTTTTAAAAAATAATCTTAAAAATGGGGTGAAATGTTAATAAAATGCATTAAAAAAACTTCACGACAAAAATTGACTTTTTTATCTTATAAAAAAAGCAAAAAAATCTTCAACGTCAAAATTTATCTGTCAGCTTAAAAGTACCTTAAAATAGATGAAAAAATAGCTTAAATATATGAAAAAAAGTGGGATGAAACGTACCATTTTACTTTCTACTGGTGTCAATTTAGAAATTTCATCCAAAACGTTCGAAAATCCAATCCGAGTCCTTCAGATGAGAATTGGATTTGAAATAACATACAACATGTCTGTCTGTCTGTCCGTCCGTCTTTATATTACACAGATAATCTCCAAGAGTACTGGGCCGATTGTTGTCAAATTTTGTATGTATATTAGGAATATCATGTAGACCAAAATTTGTTTAATTATCCCCACCAATAATGTGATGACGTCACTTCAAAATTGTACATTGTAAATTGGTTTTAAATGGTATAAAATAACATAGTGTTGAGTTTTTACCCGAAATGTCCAGATTTTTAGAAAAAAAATCAAAATTATAAGACATTTTGCAATTTAATCTTGAATTTGCAAAACCGAATCCTTTGAAATCTTGGAGATATTTTAAACTTATCATAAGCATGGTAAATTTTTGATCAAAATGTATTTGCTCATCCCCCCTAAAAAAATGATGACGCCATCCCAAAATTTTGCTGGAAAAAATCCGATCTTAAATGTGCAAAGTATGAGTCTATACTTGTGATTTATCACTGCATTAATATTTTTTAGATTTGCTTATACGGGGTGTCTGAAAAAAATTAATGACTGGAGTCAATTTATTTTACTGATTAAATCAAGAATTGCAAAACTGAATACTTTGAAATCTTGCAGGCATTTTGAAGTTATTGCAAGCATGGTAATTTTTTAATCAAAATGTATCTGTTTATCAACCCCAAAAAATTGATTAGGTACGTCATCTCAAAATTTTGTCGAATAAATTCTTTCGAAAATGTGCAAAATATGATCATCTTTAACTTTTCATTGCATTCATATTTTTTAAATTTGCTTATACAGGGTGACTCAAAAAAATTAATGAATCAGTCAGTTTATTATTGATTAAATTAAGAACGAGCCACCCCATTTTCTCGAAAATATGAGAATACGCTCGTCTCTCTAACAATAAAATAAGGTAACAATTATAATAACATTCAGAATATTTTGTTCAATTGAGGCTTATGAATAATTTTATGCATTTGATGACTTTCGCGCATCCACCAGGATGCGGAGGTCGAACTTCCCGCACACGTGCTTTTTGCTTTCCGTTCCCATGTTAACATTAAAATAGCCCCGAAACGTTAAATTGTTAAGTGTTTACGGTGCCATCAACGTCGTTGTTTATAAATAACTCGCAGTTAACCTTTTCGGTTTAAAAGTTTACAATAATAGAACAGACAACTGTTATTATTTATAAGAATAACGTGTACTGCATTAGCCGATAAGCAAGGCGGAGCGACCAGACATAAACAATTCATCCAAATATAAAAATAAACGTGTGTTACATCATTGAATGTTGAACAAAAATGTGGTCTACGGTTATTTATACACAATTTCCGTCGCCCTTGAAATACACTCGAACAAATACATAGTTTAACTTTACCTAGATAATGCCAACGTGGTTGGCGAAATGCGTCGACAAATATTTTGTTTTCGGGGTTGTGGAAATATACGTTCTATTAAATACAAAATGCTCGGAAAATTATAAAATTTAATTTTGCAAATTTTATTTTTATTTCCTGAGCGTAAGCGAAAGAAGTATTGTAATAGAGTCTATCTCACCATGTTGTGTTTATTAAATAATAATAATAATTATAATGCATATCATTACTTGGTCTTAGTACCCGTAATGATAGAAGTCTTGCCTGAATGCCGGTCATTTCCGGGTCAGTGGTGGGTCTTAATAACCCACAAAGTATAAAAACACTTAATATGTGGGAGAATGAAATAACTGGCACGTACGCCTATGCAGTAGGGTTTTCTAGTCTGCTCGCACGTGCGCACAACCGATAGACCCATCGTAAATGGTGTTTGGTGTTTGATTTTGTCTGTACCATTGGAAGTATACGACATGCTCCCTCCGTTCTTATTCTAACCTCCTCGGATGCAACATAAATATTTACTGCCGATTGTTATTAATGACGTTTTTGTAATGGTCGAAAGATATAAAAATATAAATAAAAAAAGTTAAAACTAAATCAGAAAAATAAAGACACAGCAAAAATATGTCATAAAAGCACCAAAGGACCCAAGAAACATAAACACACAATTTACCTTTTCTTTTTATCCTTAGGTAGCTTTGGTTCATCATCACTGCGTAACGATTATTACCAATTATTTATATGACTAACTAAATTTGTAAACATTTTAACCTACCTGGTTCCTTCTTCCTGCATTTTTTCTTTTTTCTTTTTAACTTTCTCTGCTTCTGCCTCAGAATCACTACTTGACAGCTTTGTTGTAAGAAGTTTATCTTTTTTCCACGCTTTTTTTGCCTTACTTTTTTCTCGCTGCAAACGAGTATTAACACGCTATTTTAAAATTTAGAGACCACCTTACATTTTCTTTTTCTTCTTCACTATTTAAAGCGGCGTCTTTTTCATCTGCTTCTTTTTCTGACTGATCCTCATTTTTATCACTTGTAGAATTTTTAGCATCATCACATTTATTGTCTTTGTCCTTATCCTTATCATTTTCTTCATCACCTTTTTTTTCAGGGGTTGCCAGTTCTTCACTAGTTTCATTAGATGTTAATGGAAGCTGCTCCTTAAAAAAATATGTTACATGTATTTTCCTTTTGTTATTTATTTTGTTATAAAAGTACCTCTGCCGTTTCTTTATCACCTTCTTCATTAGGTACATTCTCACTATTTGGTTTAACTATTTCTTTATCAGAATCCTAAACATCAAAAATTAGAATAAAATAATATCAGCTCTTACAGAGTACATACCTTTTCTGGCACATCCTGTTTTTCCTTTTCATTCTCTTTTTCTTTATTAGATGTGTCAGGTGTCTCTTTTTCTTTGTCACTTTCTTTACTTGCATCTAACGGAGTCTCTTTATCAGATGCCGCGGTCGCATTTTCTTCTTCTTTGTCATCTTCTTTATCTGAATTTAATAGGTTCTAAAATATAAACTTTACGTAAAAAAAAAATAAATAAAAACAGAATGTCCTACCAAAGCATCTTCTGCCATATCTTCCACAAGTTTAGACTGTGCCAAATTAGAACTTATATCAGGCTCAGGCGCAGGACTTGCGCCTTTATCATTACCTGCTTCAAGGTTTGCTACATTATCATCTGAGTCACTTTTATCTGTGTCTTCTTTATGAACAGGTTTTGAAATGTGTTTGCGTTTTGGTCTTTTCTCACTTTTACTATCATTACCTGATGAATGTGCAGAATGTGATCTTCGCCTCTTTTTCTTTAAAGCGGTTAAATCACGCATTCTGCAAAAAAAAAAAATAAATAAAACTGTTGTCTTGAAAATCTACAACTATTACTTATTTATCTGCAGCAAGTCCAATTTTTCTAAATAATATTCCTTTAATTTTTCACATGGTACCCTGACAATTTTAACATAACAATTAAAATTGAACTTTGGATCTTTCTTCCAATCTGCCACTGAGGTGTTCTGCGTCGTGACGTTCTTATCTTTCTTTTGTTTATCTTTTTTATGACGGGATGATGCCACTGAACTAATATCTGAAGAGTTGTCTGATGTATCTGATAATGTGACTTTCTCTAATTCAGTTGCTTTTTTGGTATTGCCATTTTTAATACGATGGGATTTTGAAAGAAGTACCTCATCTTCACTCGAGTCTGAGTCAGAACTACTATGTACTTGCAACGATATTTTGTTTTTCTTAATTGTTTCTTCAGCTGCTTTTCTTCTTATTCCCCTAGGACTTCTAGTGCTTTGCACGTTTGCGGCGCTTCGTGAGTGGGTACTAGAAATGTGAGAATTTGCAGAAGCACGAATACCACTTTTAGACACCGTAGTTTTAGTTTTTGTTGTTTTATGTGTCGCTCGTTCATCTTCTGAGCTCGACGAAATAACAACAGTTTCTGCTAGTTCAATATTCTTTGTATGTTTTCTTGAATCTTGTTTTATCAGTGTTCTTGGTTCCACTAGCTTTTTTATATCAACCAACTTAATGAGAGGCTTTGGATTTTGTACCTCTGTGCTGTTAATCTCTTCATTTTCAGATTTTATGTCTTTGTTTGTGGTAACACCAGAATTTAAGGTATCGCTGTCTTCTGACGAATTTGCACCAACATTTGTGTTACTATCAGCCGACTTCTCTTGCTTTTCATGTTTATCAAAAAATTCTTTAACGGATGTGGCATGCTCAAATAAATTTTCAACTTGTGCTTTAGTTCGTTCTAAAATATCCTTTAAATGTTCATCTAACAAATTCTTATCTAAGTCGTCCTTAATCTTAGATGTTTCTACAATAATTGAAGTAACTTGTGCAAATTTTTCTAGAACATCGAACAAAAACTCCTTCGACATTATTTCGTAATAAATCTGCAACACCTTGACCGTGATCACACCAATTAATAATTAAACAGCGTTTACCCTAAAAATTCATACGAATATAAGTGTTGAACCTGTTTCCCGCCTCAACAATGGGCAATAACCAACTCACTGATCTTCTGTCCAGCACAATTTCAGTAACCATTTACAGAACCACTTAATTTTTACAAAGTTACAATTTTATATCGTAAGTGCATGTCATAATTCTCTGACACGGGCTAGTTGAAATTAAACAACAATAAACTCACGGGCTCTGCCATCTTGTTGGAAACGTCAACAACACAAGTCAAACAAATTTGATTTTTTGCATTGTCGCCAACATAAAGCATTATAAAATACTACACGGCAACTACGGTTAGTAAAGTCACTAGATCTACTATTACTTTTAGAAAGTACGGCAAACTGCCTGTGGTCGGAATTCGACAGAGAGGAACCTAACCTATGTGTTAAACAAAGATAGCGCGAGGCTAGTAATTTTCGCTATCTGTCAACGAAAGGTTGATGTGTTTACGATTTGAGGTTACGACAGACTGTACTAGAATTATTGAGTTAACGGACCGGAAAGAACACTATTCCAGTCCCAAAGTAACTACAGCCCTATTCAACGAGAAAGTGTCACCGGTAACCAGCAAACAGTCGTGGAAGACGTGTTACCACCAAGGCAATTGACGGCCAAATGACAGTAACAGGATCGCCATACTGGAAGCAAAAAATACCTGCTGTCGAAAAGACGGAGCATAACAAGGACACAGATATATTTCTATTTCATAAAAGTTACTAATTGCCACACATTTCAAGATCGAGTCACATTAACGGTTAGGTGGCTACAGCGCCGTCGACGGGTGTGAACTGTACGATTCTGATTAAAAAATCCCGAAAGGGTTACACACCCCCATTCGCTAGTGCAAAAAAATTGTATGAAATATACTCTTGTATTTTCCTACGTTACTGTTTTTTACTTCATATAGGTTATAAAAAAAATCGCAAAGTCAAATTTTTTAATTTATCAAAGAAGCGGGATTTGTTAGACTGTATTTCAAGGGCGAGGGAAGTTCTGTCGAAATGACCTTCGACCAGTTGTGTTAAATAAAAAAGACACTAATGACTGCTGGTTTACTTTCATTATTTACTACTGATTATAGTGTAAAAATAAAACCAAAACTATTTTTATACGTCTTATAGTCTTCATTCATACAAAATTATCTTTCATTATATACATGTCAGTAATATGGGCCCTGTAACAACGAATTCACTTCACAGCGTTTTAATAGATCCTCCATAAAAATTCCAACTTGATTTATGTGTATACTTGCATTCTCCACAAACCTCCACATCTACAATAAAATAACTGTAATATTAATTTACAAAATTCGATATAAAATTACTGGCAAGATCGAAGCCATCTTTGGTCCCATGCTCTTATAGCCGCCGTTCTCGTAACAGGGATAGTTCCAGCGGATCCTCCACACCTTACACATTGTTTAATCGCTCTAGGTGTCCGCCCTAAGTACAAGTGCCTAATAGAATCAACAGTCTGCGTGGTCCCTGAGTCGGTTGAAGCCATAAGACATTCTGGGTCATTGTTAAATTCTAGCTGAAAATAGATAAAAATAAAAATACAATATATCTATAAACGATTCTGGTGGTTCTGGAATATTTTTTTGTTATTTATTTTGCCTGGTTTAGCGTTATTAGGTCAATTCTAATGTGTCAATAGTAAAACTACGACACTTATTGAAGTTTACAGTTTTCCAGGCATTCGTAATTATAAAAAAATGTGATAAGTAGTTACTTCGCAGACAAAACTTGGTGACAAAATGGCTTCTCAATAATAGTCTATACTTAATTTGTGATAATATTGAAGCTTTAAGTCACTACATTTAGACTGAGGCAAAAAATCGAAAACTGCAGATAAAATTTACCCCAAAATATAGAAATACATAATTCTGTAGCTGTGAAATTTAAATTACTCAGTTTTTAAGAGGAATTATTGGTTATAATAGGAAATTAATAAGAAATAATACAAGAATTCAAATAACTCTTCATATACAAATTCATAAAGATAACGTAACAAGACTTCATTGAAAAAGCAAATGGCCCAACTTTTGGATACACAGTAAAATTCTTCACAGCTTAATAAATACAAACATGTTGGACCTTAATTAAAGAGGTCCATAGGAACCATAGATTGCCTTTTAATGACATAAAAAGCTGTATAAAGATGGATATTTACAGGATTTTGTGAGTTTTGTCATAAACAAGTTTTGTTTAGTTATAATTTCATTGTTTTCGTACGATTTGCAATTATGCTGAAGCGCCTGCGTTCGTTGATGGAAATTAGGCTGCTAATCGATACGGGTGTATTTGGTGTATTGTAAACACAAATCAACAAGTATTGAATTTTTAAAATCTCTATGACATCGTTAGATTACCACCTTCGTACATTCTGCTGAATCCTTTTGGATGCATAACCTAAATTTTCCTTTTATTTTAGAAAATATTACGTTAATAAATTTCATGTTAGTAAGATTTATTTGAATAAAGTTTCCCAAGGATTTTGTCCATGCTGTACTACTTTAATATATAGATATTTATTTTATTCGGAGTTTAAGTGATACTTTTTGTGCCAAGTATGAAAGTCTCAGTCAATGAACCTTAAATTTTGAACAAATTAAGTTGTAACTCAAAATTTACAAAAAGTGGATTTAACGGGTTTTGATTCTAGACGACTCCTTTTTTAATGGAAGTAAAACTAGATTTGAACAAAAATAAAATCGGTTTCATTATATTTAAATTTATATTACAAAATTACAAACCAAAAAAAATGAACTAACTATCAGAGAATAAAGTAGATATCTCTTATACCTAAACTTCGACTTTCTCTACATGCACCCCGTTCTTCTAAAATTTTCCTTCTTATTTTGCGTTGTTTTTTTTAAGATGTATTCGAACCCGAAACAAAGAAAATAGTTTTAAAATTTTTAATTTAATATTATGACAAACTAGCAATTTAAAACGTGCAATTTGGTGATCAAGTTTCATTTCGTGTAAATACAGAGTTTTTAAATCAACATGTTGTTCAGGAATTACCTATTTTCAAAAATTTTTCCATAGTTAAAAACAAATTAAATACAACTTCTGTTGGATATGTTAATGAGTTAACTTTAAATTCTCTTAAACAAACGAATTTCGTATAAGGCCTAGAAAATGTTTTGGTAATAATTGCTTGGAGACAATTGACACACTTTAAATTTTGTCTAATTCTTGCCAAAATATAGCAAGGAACATTATTCAAACAATTTTGTGTCACAAAACAAAATGCTTGGTCGTAACTTTTCCAGCTCCTAGAAAGAGAAACTGCCCAGAAGAAACGGCATTATTTGAAGCTGGTAAATCTCTTATTCCTAATCAATTTTGATTATTTGATACTGTATAACTTCCCCTACTAACTGTAGATACTGAATTACACACAAATTGTTAAGAAGTGACCTAAACTGAAGTGCATTTGGTATTTCTTGTTTCAGTCTTATTTGACTAAAAATGTTTAGGTACGTATTATATTACCATATAGAAAAATGGCAGTAATATGACGTGTTATCGCGTGATAAATAAATAAAAATTGTCTAGTATTCTCTACGGAGATTATTTCCGCGTTGCTTCTCTCCATCTTCTCAAGGTCTCGATGTGGATAGACGAATTTGTTTTAATATTATTCTGCAACTTTCTTTACATTTAAACTTGTTGCCTAATATTTATCTAAAAGTTGGAATTTTGCTTACCTATCCTATGACTAAGTATTCTTTTTATATTTTAATATGCATTTCTAATTTACAAACGTGCTTATACAAAGATTTCATTTTGCAAACATTTTTTTTTAAATAGTCGTGAACAAAATTGCTTTTTGTATTTTTATACTAACACAATAAAGTACTTTTAATACAAAAAAAAAAAAAAATGTTTTCACATTTCCAATTTTTAGTCTTAAAAAGAGACGTAAGAAAAAAACGATTCGATCCGATTCTGATTCTGACAACAAAAAAGACAGCGCCGACGAATTTCAACCAGAATCTAGTAGTTCATCAGAATCAGAGAAAGAAGAATAGGAGAAAGAACCTGAAAAGTAAGAAACCACAAAATCCGTTTTCTTTATATTATAAATACTCGTTTTTCGTAATATAGACCAAAATCCCGTAAACGAGTGAAGCGCGTCCGCGACAGCAGCGAAGACGACGAAGAAAAATCAACAAGAAAGCAAATCAGAAACATTTGGGGAAGAGACTCCCTTGCTGAAACCACAAAACAAGCTGAAGCCGAAGAGAAAGAACGAAAAGCTCGCATCGCCGAAAAACAGAAAAAGTACAATCTAGTGTATGAAGGCAACTCCCAGAAAAACGCCACAGTTGACAAAGTAGTGTTAGATTTTGACGAAAAGAACAACGTAGAATTGTTGAAAGTTGATGATCAATTGGTAACTAAACTGAAGCCGCATCAAGCCAGCGGTGTACAGTTTATGTGGGATGCATGTTTTGAGTCGCTGGAACGTGCAAAATCCACTACGGGCTCCGGATGCATTTTGGCCCATTGCATGGGTTTAGGAAAAACTTTACAGGTAAAATTGCAAATGGCGCTGTATTTATCTAATGAATTTAATTGTAGGTCATTACATTAGCTCATACTTTGTTAATCAACAATGAAGAGACAAAAGTGAAGAAAGTTTTAGTTGTTAGCCCTTTAAATACCGTATTAAATTGGGTTAACGAATTCAAACAGTGGTTGCCCGACAATGACGACTTTGAAATATTTGAGCTGGTATCGTTCAAACAAAATTATGAACGACTGTATCAAATCAAAACGTGGCACAATTGTGGGGGAGTATTGATTATAGGATATGATATGTTTAGGAACTTGAGCAATCCAGACAACAAACGGTTGAACAAGAAGATGAGAAGTGCGTTTCAGGAAGCGTTGGTTGATCCAGGTAAGTTTAGAATAAAATTTGGTTACACAATTGAGACGTACCGAATTATATGTAGGTCCTGATTTGGTGATCTGCGACGAGGGTCATCTCTTAAAGAACGAAAAAACAAATCTGAGCATCGCTGTGAATCGTATAAAAACGTTAAGAAGAATTGTATTAACAGGCACCCCTTTACAAAATAATCTCAAAGAGTATTTTTGCATGGTGCAGTTTATTAAGCCAAATCTCGTGGGAACATACAAGGAGTACGTAAATTGTTTCGTAAATCCGATTACTAATGGTCAGTATACAGATTCGACGCCTCAAGACTTACAAATTATGAGAAAAAGATCTCACGTTCTTCACAAAATGCTGGACGGTGTAGTACAAAGAAGAGACGACTCTGTTTTGGAACCATATTTGCCTCCTAAGTTTGAATACGTTATATTCTTAAAACTCTCTGAAACTCAGATTAAGTTATATCAACATTACATGAATCATTTTGCTAAAAGAAACATCGACGGGTCAAATCGGACGTCATTTTTATTTGTAGATTTTCAAGCCTTACAGAGGATATGTGCTTATCCACGAGTGCTTCTAGATAAGAGTATTGAGATGAAGTTGGCCAAGGAAAGAAGGGTCAGAGAAACAAATTGTACAAAAACTTTCTAAGAATCCTCACATTGAACTGAAAATTACTTTTTATTAGGACGATTCCGAGGAATCAGAAGGTTCTTTAAAAGATTTTATAAACGATGAAGACGAAGACTCTACGTCTTCGTCATCAAACTCTGGCTCGGATAGTGAGAACGAAGGAAAAAGGAGACAAATCCTCGTAAGCGCCTAATAAGAGCTGCTGCGGCTTTAGGTGAGCAATTTTTGGTTTTTATGTTGTTTTTATTATTTAACACTGAATTACGATTGCAGATTTTTATATAATAAATGTAGTAAAGTCTTCTGGACTTATTTATTAATATGTATGCTACACAACATAACCTCAAAAACAACAATTTTAAATGGTGCTTTATCTTTAAAATCTTGAAAATATTTAGGTAAAACGGTTTTTTTAAACTTTAAGTCGTAGACTAAATCTTCTTGATCAAATATAATTTTAAATGTACAGCGGAAAGGATTTACAAAAGTAAGCACTTGACAAATTTTGAAGGTAAAACCAATGTTCCAATTTGGACGCCTCAAACTTTCGTTTCAAAGTGCAATAGTCTTCTTACATGAGCTAAAATTATATAAATGATATCCATCGTTTGCGCTGTTATTACAATTAATTAAACTGCAGTGCACTTTCAGAAAATATTTTCAATGTTTGACTTTTTACTTCAAAAAATTACGAATTATAAAAAATTACAGTCAAGTGGATTGCTGCAATTTTTTTAGGAAACTGGAAAACCCTTTGAGACGAACGTTCCTGATAAATTTGACAAGGCACTCTAGTAACGACTACCTTCAGGAGAAACAATTGTTTCAACAAATCGTACCTCTCACAGCAAATAAATATACAATAATAACAAACCTGTAGGGGTAGAATCTGCTGTACCAATTGAGGAGAGGCCAACACGGTCCGATTATTTGACGGCTGAAGAAGCTGAATTTGTACTTGGCTCGGCAGAAGACAACATTCATCTGTCAAATTAAAAGAAAATAAAACAATAGTACATAATTCTGTGATTTTATTTAAACAGGTGGTTCGCATTTACAAATATTTGACATCTTTAACAATTTCTTGCCCTGAACTTTGTTCCTTATCATCAGGATTAACAAATAGGAACACATTTGAGACGCAAGTTTTGCTCGGAGATACACTCGCTATGAAGAATTCGTGTGTGTCTTCTGGCTCGCTCTTTCTATTCGCATTTAACTTTGTGGAGGAATTAAAAGATTTGTTCGCACTTTCGATTAAGTCGTAGAAAAAGATTTCACGCGGCGTTAATGGAGTTGTTACGTTTTCGCCCGATTTTTCTACTTTATGTTCTTCCTTGGGTGTAAGATCCAGTTTTAGTGGCGTTTTTTGGAATATCGGTTTCAACTCGGTTTCTTCTTTTGTTTCGATATTTAACGATTTTTCACACTTGTCAATGTCCGAATTACTCTGAGGTTTCTTGTTGAGATCGGGCGTTAAAGATATTTTGTCGCCTTCGATGTAATTTACTTGAAATAAATTATTGTCTCTTTTAGGCGACCATTTCCACAAAATTACCAAAATGGATACTAGGATTAAAAAAACCACCAACGCCACTATCCAAAAATAGTACGGCCACTCTGGAGGCCACACAGCGATTGAATGAAGAGTATAATAATGGTACACTTTTACGAACATCAGTGGGCAATATATGAACCAATATAGTATGAATAAAAGCACACAATATAAGGGAAAACCGATGAACTTGAATGGTTGAGACAAAGACTTGTTTTCATCGTCAATGTAGGGTTGTGGTAGCAACTTTTGGCAGCACGTGGACATCTTGAAAGAATGTCGTCAACTAACTTAACCGTCGAAAATAAAACAAAGCGGAAACCGATATCGCATTTCCTATTTGATATGAAAACTACTATTTTAATTAAACAAAATATTTGAAGACGTTATACAATTTTGTTAAATAAAAAATTTACAATTTTGTAACTTGCGTATCAATTATTATTAATCTCAGTGTCCCACGGCTCATTTTTTACGGATCTCATATTTCTCACAGTCTCTTTTTTAACCCCCAATTTCTTTTTGCGAGAGTGTGTTTTTTAATTTTTTGTAAACATTATATTATTATTATCTATTAAAATTTATTTTAAGATTTCTTTCTTTAGATAATAAAGCTGGATCAGTAAAAAAGGGACGAATTAATGAAAATTTATTACGAGTATTCTCTGAATTTTGATGTCGAGAATTTAGTGGAAGCTATCTTTAAAACGACAATTTTCCTGTTAAATAGCTTCCACAATTACATATTATTCACCGATTCAAAACAAACCAAGCGTTATCACTATAATCATATACATGTAACATGTAATAATTTCGCCATTTTTTTAATTTGTCTCCTATTTAAGAAGATGACATGTGGAATAGTTCATTCCTATTAAGTAATTCATATTAAGAAGTGATCCTTTTTAAAGTGTGGTGTGCATACTTTTTTTAAAAAAAAGCTCTCTGAAATGAAGTTAGTACAGTTCAATGTAACGTTTTTATTAATATTTGTTTTAATACTATCAGTGGATGCTCGTCGATGTAGAACCCGCAGCAGAACCAGGATATGCGTCAATAGCGAGGTACACCTTAATATATTCATTTTTAATGAATAACATAATTTATTTGCAGTCGGATTCCAACGTTTTGGACTTATTGTTATGGGCATTGTTGGAATAATCAAGAAATAATAATACTC